CCCCTTTGACTGAAAAGCCATGTTGAGCGGTCTGGTCTCTGGCCGCTGCCCCCCCCTCCCTCTGCCCCCCCTTTGTAAGTCACTACATAGTATTGCTGCTGTTTGTGTATATTTTTTGTGTATTTGCTAATTTTTTTTAACTTCTAGTTTTTCATTAAATAAATATGACTTTCTTTTCTGTAATTCAGGTTTTTCTCTTTTTTGTATCTTTTTAAAGTTAATTACAGGTGTCATCTTTTGATATATGCATAATTGCTATGGTAAAACTTATATTTCTGTATGTTTGGTAAATTTTGTCTCTTTCCAGTAGTCAATTCATTGGTGATGCTGTTCTTAATTGAGCTATTTTGTGAATGTACTGAACTCGAAAGGAGTGATTATGTTCAAAGATGTATCAGGAAAGAAAGCTCCTTTAAAAACAGGTCTAGATGTTGTTGTACTTTGAGTTATTCTTCTAACAAAAATGAACAATTATTAAGAATTTTCTGAATTGAAAAAATTCACGTTTCAAATTTAGAGACACTTAGAAACTTGATTGCATCCTTGTATTTGTTGGTTTTGCAGTACAAAGAAGGTATTGTCTTACACAGTATTTGTAATTATAAAAACAGACCTTTTTTTTTTTTTTTAGAGGCAGTCAGAATGAGATGTTTTCAGTCTTTTTATATTTGTCATTAAAAGAATACCTGCAAATTAAAAAAACAACCACTTTTGCTTTTTGCTTTAGCTCAAAGTTTGACACATTGATACTCTTGCTCAGTTTCTTGTCTTTGTGTCTTTTGGTTGTTACTAAAGTAACTGTCTTGAACCGATTTTTGGATGTCATTTTAGTGCCATGATACACATTATGATGCAAATAATCTCTTACAGGTGTTGTTCACCAGCCATAAAGGCTTGTGAAGGATGCCGGGCTTTATGCAGACTGCCTATATGTGAAAAATTGAATCGTGAATGTATATGGTGTTTGTGTTACAAAACATAGGCATAGGGACAGAAGAAAGTAAGGCGAAGAGCTGCTTCATCTCAAGCTGTTTGAAAGAATCTTTGTTAAGGAGTAGTGGGTGTCTGTTTGGAGAGGTAGTCTGGCCATTAACTACTTTTGTAACATATTAAAATACAGTTTATTTACTGTGCACTGTCTTAACTTTCTTACCAGAAGTCGGTCAATTGAGACAACTCTTGTTATCGTTTTGATGCATGACGAGGTAAGTAGTTTACAGGTAAGGAACGTAAAATCCACCAGGTTGTATTCATAAAATACCACAGAAATAGTTGGCTTCGTGCAGTGAAAGTAAAAAGTTCCACTTCTAAAAAGTTGATATTTTGGCCGTTTGAACTGTGCACAGATTTCATTTAAAAGCTATATTGGTACCTTGTGACAGTAGATAAACGCTTCAAAAAATCCTGCAGTCTAGCATTTTTTCCCTTGTGAATATACAGCTCATCGTTTGCAGTCTTCTGAATTCAGTAATTATTCTCACCTCATTCACCTTGCCTGCAATTACCTCAGGTTTGTCTTCCGGTCTATTGACAGAAACTTGGCTAAAAACTGCCAGTATTTTTAGAGAATGCTCAGACTCGGCCTGTCCCTCGCTCCCTCGCGACCGGCGGGCTTGGACTGACGTTTGCCTGCCCAGGTTACCTGAGTTTGGGCTCTCCAGAGCTGCACGTTAGAGCGCAGCAGGGCTGCTCTCTGCTGCTGCCTGTCCTGGGAATGGCTCAACTCGCATTGTGTCCCCAAAGCACCCTGGATCTTACAGCTTTGTTGCGCTGGTCTGCAGTGATTTTATTTAGGCTAGAATGAGCTGAAGAAGACGACTATACTTTGAAGGGGACTTCAGAAATTGCATTTGTAATGAGCTTTAGAAGCTGAAGAGGGGGTTTTTTTGTGTGTTTTACAGATGACAAATGCTACAGCATAACTAATGTATGCTGACTTACTATAATGTAAACTGGTATTACTCCATTTGGTGTGTAAAAAAAAAAAAAATCTCTATAGAACAGTTAATGTCCATCATGAGATAGAATGATTAAACAAATCATACTTAGGCCCTGATCTTAAAAAGCGTTACAAGCCTCCAATTCAGTAGATCTCCTCTAAAGCCTCTGAGGATCTGGTAAGTCAACTACACTCTGTTATACATGAAAAAAGAAAACATACTAGAAATCTGTACAGTTTACCACCTTATCTAAAATCAGTGGTGTATTAAAGCCTGCCATTGTCTGAACATTAGCTTCTTATTTTAGAAAGCACTCTTTTACTTTGCTGTATGGGGAAACAGTACTGAAATTTGTCTTTGATGAAATAAAATGCACTAGGTCTTGCATTTGTCCACTAGCACTACCTCCACTGTTTCTCATTGCCTTTAAAAAAAAAGAGCCTTAAAGGGAAAATGTTTGACAAATGTGGATGTTAATATTTGGGTTCTGTTTGGACATTTCTTGCTAGCTCTTGTTTGCAGTATTGCTTTCAAATTAAAGCAGGTGAACTGTTTTGTATGGCTGCCTGTACTGTTGTATTCTCCAGAATCATAGTAGCTTTGAAGAGATAAAAGCATGCATTGCACTAGCGGGATAGTTACTATCTGTAGCAACTGATAGTGTGGATAGAGGAAAGGAGCTACCACTGCTTGCTTTTTACCTTTGATAAGCTTAGCTCTCTTAGGGCGTGTTCTGAGGGGCACGTGTTTAGTGTTGGGTCCATTTAACAGTCAGCTGCAAAGCAGAATAACCCCTGGGGTACTGAAGTTACTTTAAAAGCTCTTTACTGTTCTAGCTTGCTGCTGTGCAGATTGTTCTTTTTGACAGTGCTCAGTGAAAGCAAAAGAAAAGGCACTAAAGCGTGCCTGTAGTGTTTGATGCGATGGGTAATGCTTAAGTTTTGTTTTAAAAATCTCAACGAAGCAACTTAACCAAATCAGCTCTGCAAGCAGGAACTTGAAAAGCTGTAAGTAAATGCCTGTTAATAGCTTCAGAGCGGCGTGAAAGCCCTCACCGTTGGGACAGAGTCCTTGGGAACTGGAGTGGCGTGGCAGCCAGGAACGCATTGCTTAACTTTTCTTGGGAGCAACTCCCTGTTCTTCCGTAGTGAAATTGCTGTGGAAGGTTTTTTTTACAGTACTTGCTCTCTTTCAAAAAAATGCAGTTCTGCGTGTATGAACAACTGCACTGGAATTCCATGCACCTCTGCTTTCTCACTAGTGCAAAGTAGTGCTGGATTGTTGTTTGAGCTGCATTAAATTTGGTAAAGAATTTTTTTTCCCCTCCTGATTTTGATTAAAGGCAAAGCAGCACATCGGTTTCTGTGCCCTTCTGGTGTTTTACTGATTGTCTCGCCTGTTTGCACTTTCTGTGTTCAAGTGTTTTGCAAGGCAGAAAGTATTCTGAGACTGTCTGTTACCCCTTACCCTTGGAACTTAGCTAGTGAATGATTAAGAGTAGAATTCTTAGAACAGAGAAACAAAAGGAGTTTTCATTTTTATAATTTTATTAGATGAAGTCTTTGTGAAAGTTGTAAAATCTTTTGTAAATCAGGTGCAGAAATACCCACTGAGTATATTACTGTCAGTGCTAGTATGTTCCATGTAAATCAGCTCCCTATGTATGGAAATGAAAGCAAACCAACCCATTACTTTTGATTCATAGACTGCTTCTATAACAGGCTTTTGCCACTGATACAATTTGCATTTCATAAGCACGCTCGAGTTTGTTTCAGAATTAACGAGCAAGGAGAGAATGTAACATACTGGGGTTTCTCTTGTGGCTGACCCTAGTACAAAACAACGAGAAACTCAAGGATCCTCCATTACGTAAGTGTCAATGTCTGTCTTCACTACTGTTCGAGGGACGGAAAGAGACAAAGCTGTCAGCAGAGATGGAGTACCGACAGGCTGCCTTAAACCTTAAATTAGTCACAGTATGCAGTACCTAATGCAGTTCAATGATCCACTATTTTCTTGGCATCATTTAAATGGATTTAATTTTATAGGCTAAACTCTGACTGTAGGCATCCCAGAGTCAAGTTGACGTGTATCAGGTAGGAATGAAGGACTCTACACTGTCCCTCCAGAATGGTGCCAGGCTTTTCCAGAGAGCCTTCAGGGCTTCTCTGCCCGCCTCTGGGGCTGTGGTACAGCCGTGCACACGGGCACTTGAGTGCGTCATCTCCCCTGCTCCGCAAGAGCTGGGACGTGTCACCACGTCTTGAGTGGCTTCCTGTACTTAGGTTTGAAAAATGATGTCTGCCTTGACCTTGCTGAAAACTAGAACTGAGTGCTGAAAGGACTTACTAACTTAATTTAGACCATATTGCTTCTGTTTAAATCCCTTAAGCGTATTTTTTTAGATCTCAAAAACCTTATTTTTCCCATGATGCTACGGCTCCTTAGCATACTGAATGTTATTTCCTAAATTAGTAAACTCTCTTGCTAAATCAGTTTGCTTTTCGGTAACACCCTCCCCTCTGTTAGACTCTTGCTGTGCTCCATTTGCTGCGATTTGTGACTAGAGCTCACAGAACTGCCTATCATTCCCTGGTCGTAGCCAAGTCCTCTTTAAAGACATAATCAGCTGCTGACATTTACATACGTGCCAGATGAGCTAAGGAATTGTTTCCCAACAGCTTCAGCTCTATCAGGAAATGAGTATTTTTTTCTAGATTCCTTGCTGATGATAGTAAAAAGCAGCAAATGC